ATATTTTGGTCTAGTAATATTTATTTTCCTAAAATCAAGACGTATGTATTGAGTTTCTTAAGATTTGTGCAAATATGAAAAATGACTATTATTTACAAATGAAGGAAGTACCATTTTTACAAAAGAATAAAACTAAAAATAATGAACAGACTTCAACAAATTTAGTTAACATCTTTTGTGTTTCACACATAACATCTATTACTAGAATACAATAATTGTATTTAGGGTTGGACATGCATGGGTTGGATTTATCGGCCAACTGATCCACTTTCGATCCACTTCTTTCGGCCGATAATTTTGTCGGGTCGGTAATTTTAACCGACCCATATATAAATAGATCGGTCGGTGGTTTTCAGTTTACTCAAAAGTTGGTTAGCCGATATTATCGGCGACTTTTTTAATAATTTTTTTATTATAAATATTTAATTGTAATTTTTTTTTTCTAATGTTAAAATAATATATGAAAGATGTTAAAACTCAAAGACTCAAAACACAAATTTATAAACCTCTCCGTACTATTTCTATTTTATAATTCTTATTTCATATTCTTCATTATATGTTTACTTATTGTATAATTTAATTATTAAAAAAAAGGACTCTTAATTTTAAATTTAAGATTTTTACAACATAAGTTTTCCCAAAATTTTGAAAAAAACTTTTAAAAACATCTTATTATTGTAAAAAAAAAAAAATAATAAATAGACGGCCAATAATACCAACCAACCACCCATTGTTTATCCGACAAAGTCGGTTGCAAACCATTATCCGACTCATAATAGTCGGGCCGATAATGGTTTTTAATTTTCTGCAAAATCGGTTGGTTGGATCGGGTAAGTAATTGGCCGATAATTACCCGACCCGACCCATGCCCAACCCTAACTGTATTACTCAATAAAAAAAAAAAAACAAAGATGAATACAATAACTGACTTTGTGCATTTTTCTTCCAGACACTCTTAAGTTGGTTGATAGGGATCTTTCCCACAGTACTTGCAACACTCGTATCTTGCTCAACTGCAAATCTAAAATCCTATTTTACAATTCAATTCGATTCATACCTTAATTGATTCAAATCTTTGAATAAATTTTAGGGTAAATTACACCCACACCCTTGTGGTATGCTTAAATAATTTTAAGGTCCCTATGGTATTGATAATTACACTCACCCCCCTGAAACGTAGTTATAAACTCTAACGGAATAATGCATTGGATACATTATTCCGATAACGTTCTAATGGACTATTACTCTTAGCTAGTGGTGGAGATAACATAGAGTTATGGGGAGTTATGGGGTGACATGGCTCCCCCAATATTTCTTAAATCACCCATAACTCTTTGTTGTCTCCACCACTTCCTGAAACCAATAGTCCGTTAGAACTCTATCGTAATAACGTATCCAATGCATTATCCCATTAGAGTTTATAACTAAGTTTCAAGGGGGTGAGTGTAATTATCGATACCACAGGGACCTTAAAGTTATTTAACCATACCTCAGGGGTGTGGGTGTAATTTACCCTAAATTTTAAATGTCAACCAATAGTTTACAATTCGATTCATATCTTAATCGATTCAAATCTTTGAATACATTTTAAATGTGAATAATTAAATTTTACAAATTCCAGTTCGATTCTTACAATTTTGGATTTACAATTTTCGTAACTTGACCTTACATCAGGGATTGCCGTAATTTACCTTAAAATCTAATATTCAGGGTCTAATAGCAAATTGCCCCTAAAATATTTCCATTGGCTAGGAACTTCTGACACTGATTTGTAGTAAAAAGGCTCACTTTATAACTGTAATGAGAAAGATCATTATTGATTATTGGTTATACTACCAAACTGAGACACTGAGGTAGCGTATGATATAAAACAAGTGCACTGCCCTTTGCACTGTCACTCTCATTGCAACTCTACATTCATCGCATCACCTAAAAATTAAAGAGTTTTTAGCTAGCGGTACCCCTGTAATAAGTATAATTATCGAAAAAGCCTATATGTTAAAAGTATTAGCATTTACCTCCCTATGAAATATAGTCAAAGCCATGAAACCTCCTGGCCCATGATCGTGCAACACACTCGCCACTTATGTGAGTGGGAGTGTGTTTTTCAGCTTGAAAAGACTTAAATTCCCTTTAAATCAGAAATTTAAAAAATTATAGAATGACCCCAATATTTTTGTAACCAAAATGAAATTTTCAAAAGATTCAATTTAGTCCCTGTTATTTTATTTTTCTTTTTTTGTTTTTTTTTACACAAATAAAATTACATTTAACCTATAGTATTTTAATTATGGTAGTTTAGTCATTTCAGCAAAGTCAACAGCAAAATATGATAAAAGGGGCCGTACACTAAATAAAATTCATCAAGGGGCCAGGGGGGGTGGTCAATGCTAATTCTTTTAACATAAGGATTTTTCTGGCAATTAGACTTTTTACAGTGGGCTCTATGCAATTAACTCAAAAATTAAAATGTGTTAATTCCTCACTCTCGCCACAATATTTTCACACACTCAGTCACACATACTTGCATGTTTTGATTTATTTCACATAACAAAAACGAAGATTAGACAAGATGAATCTGTACAATAATTCTATGATAACTCAGTATAGAATTTCCTGATGAACTAACATAAGAATTTATAAGAACTGATTTTTCATGTTTTGCTTGGTTCAAAAATTTATTGGACTAACTGAAAAAAAAATACAACAATTTTGGCGAGAGCCCCAAACTACCCACAATGATGGGCCGGCCTTGGCTTGGGGAGAGCAAGCCGAGCCATCGAAATTATATTTTCTTTCAAACATGAAATTATATTTTCTTTCAAATATTTTTATCAAATATTTTCATTAATGATAATATAAAAATCCATCGATCGAATGATTTGGTGAATTGTTTTTTAGAGAAAATATAGTTTTTTTAGTAATTATTTATCATTTTTGTTCTTCGCATTTTTATACCCTCGAAATTATGTTTGATGAGGAAGAAAATAATAATTTAATTTGCTACTTGCACCCTGAAAAAATAAAAAAAAAAAAAAAAACCAATAAAAAAGAAAATTAACTTCTTTAAGTTTTAAATATTCAAGTCAGGATGCATTGTGAATGATTTGTTGTGTTTTGAGGGTGCAAAATGCTATTAATTTTATTTTGAATGGTGCAAAGCGGCAAAATGTAGCATCTCAAGGGTGAAGGGGGATTAAGTCTAGAATCTCACCATAATTAATTGTCCATCTCTTCTGACTTTTGTTTTTCTCCAAATTTTATTATTATGAATGGGAAAATAAGAGAAGTGACAGTCAAGGTTAAGTAATAGCTCAATTAACAAGAGTTGATAATTCTTCGAATTTTGTTTATGTGTGAGTGGACCTTTTATTATAAGTGTTTAAAAAAATATATTACATCACACTTCTTTTTCAACAATTTATTCTTTAAGATAATCTGAGATTTTGTGATCAATGAATATTAAATTGAGTGGCAAACATGTAATTACGTGCAATAGCTCTTGAATACCCACACGATTGCATGTAGATAGAATCATAAACCAGGTTCATATATTTGGTCAAGTTCATAGGAAGTGAGTGGTCCAGTTTTCTATAATTGGAAATGGATAATGTTGCCTACAATAGGAAAGAACAAATAAAATCTAAATAAATAAATCCCTTCCTCTCAAGAAAATAAATACAAATAATTAAATATATGCCTAATTATCCAAAAATTATCCAAAAAAAAAAAGGGAAAAAGAGAGAGAATGTTTTATTGGAGATATGATATTAAATGGTTTCCCTAACTAACAGCTTAATTTTTTATTAAGGTAGAGTAAATAAAAGGTCATGAGTTCAAATTACACCGCACTTGAGACGGCGGTATTCAATATGTAGTCGTTATAGACAGCTATATTTGCATGGATCAATTTTCTTTTTCTTTTTTCTTTTATATCATGCAAGGGGAATATGTATATATATTTTTTTTCAAATTATCAAAGGAAAATATTGTTATACAAATTATGAATGCATGCCAAAATCTCAAACATCTACGGTGCAAGGTTGTCAAATGTTCATAGTTATAACGGATGATATTTTCAATAAATAAAGGGTAATCACAATAAAGTATATCAAATTACGAAAAGATCTCTTATGTTTGGATAATTACAATCACCCATTAATTAATAATCTTCTTAAACGTCTATCTGTATGGTGTCATCTAGTTTCATGGAATGTTCTCTAGTTTGTACTCGTTTTGTGCCAAAAAAAAAAAAAACAGTTTCTGATGTTTACAAGCCTAGAGACACATCTTACGATCATCTTGCTTCAAAATGTGGAGCTCGATTGGTGTAAAATAGGTACAAACTAGAGAATATTCCACATAATCTAGAAGATTCCACTAAATTTGACACAATGATAGAGTTGAGAGGCGGGTTGTAATTACCCAAACATGAAGGAGTTTTCGTAATTTAACCTTATTTCGAGGTGACCGTAATTTACCCTAAAATAAATTATGGCATTCTTTTTTTAAATCTTAGATTAAGTGACATTTGCATGCGGGGAATGTTGTATCATTATTCTTAACAAATTAGTCTTTAATTTGGGTTTAACATAAACCTGTTTTCTACTATGGAGTATTTCTACTAATCAAGTTTCTCAAATAATTACGAGAAGGCTAGCCCGATACACAATGAATCTGGACTGCTATTCCCGTCCAGATTCATCCGTACCTACACGTGACCTTATAAGAAAAACAAATCCATCAAATATAAACAACAATGTATACGTATATATATAGGGGAGCGTATTCTACCTGAACCAGATGTCTTCATCCGCACACACATATATATATATTAATGTTCACATAATATCACCATAATATAACGACGGTTTAGCGGCATCATTCATCCATAATCACCTTCTTCCATCCCTCTCTCTCTATATATATACATAAGCACAATTATCCCATTAATTAAGTTTCGAGATTGATTAATTAATATTATTAACCAGCACTACAACATGGTGAAGAAGATCCCGGCGAGATTCAATAGGTTCGCGGCGGCGTTCGATGATGCCGCCGCCAAGGCGGCTGGGTCATGGGAGAGCAGCGGAAGCGAGCACTCCGCCGCCGATTTATCGGATCTGGTGAATTCGTTTCTAGAGAGAGAAAGTAGAGAGGAGAGAGATAGCGAAGAGCTCGTTGATAACGGTGATCAGGATAAAGACGAAGATGACGAGATTGATTTTGAATATCGGGATCGGTTGAAGGATTTACTTTACCGTGAAAACGACGCCGTTAAAGGAACCATTCACGCAGCGGTGGAGAGGGCTTACAGAGAAGTCGACGGCAGCGGCAGCAGCAGTAGCGGTAGCTCGTCGCCGGATTTTAAACGGCAGTTAATGGCACGGTTGCGCAGCAGAGGCTTTGACGCTGGTGAGTAGGTTTTGGTCGTTGACTTTTTTTTTTTCGTATTCCATTTACAAATTAGGTTTTCATAAATTTCATCGGTCTTAATCCAATGAATCCAATTACAGTTAAACCTCTATAAATTATTCCAGTCGGGACTAATAAAATTCTATTAATTTAGCGAAATATTAAATCATCGAGTTAATAATTTAATACATTTTTACCAACTCGCACTGGAAGAAATTATTATTTAATCGAGGTTATTAATTTATTCGCACTCGAAGAAATTATTATTTAATCGAGGTTATTAATTTATTCGCACTGGAAGAAATTATTATTTAATCGAGGTTATTAATTTATTGAGTATTAATTCATGGAGGTTCTACTGTAATTAACTTCATGCAAATTTAACGATTTTTTAGGACTCTGCAAATCGAGGTGGGAGAAAAGCGGCCGTTGCCTGGCGGGGGACTACGAGTACATCGACGTAATCGCCGGCGGGACCAGGTACATAGTTCAAGTCCTTTTAGACGGAGAGTTCACAATTGCCCGCCCATGCGGCGGCTACGCCTCGTTGTTGGAAATCCTCCCACCGGTGTTTGTCGGCAAACCGGAAGAGCTGAAGCAGGTGGTGAGGCTAATGTGCACCGCCGTCAGAAAGTCGATGACGATCGCCGGCATCCACTTGCCGCCGTGGCGCCGCCACGACTACATCCAGAACAAGTGGTTCGGTTCCTATAAACGAACGACCAACGAAATTTCGAGCCGGAAAGCTTTGAATTATGGCTGCGGATCTTCGGAGAACCAAACATTAAAGGAAATTTCGTTTAATCGTAGAGAGGATTTTGTTGCGAAGAAGAGTGGCGTTGGAATAATAAACCAGGCTGCGGCGGTTTTGAAACAGAAGGAAAATGGTGCTGTAAATATGTGTGCCACCATTGTTGTGCACTAATAAGTAGGTAGTATGGATAGAGAATGATATATGAGTTGGTACAAGTGAATCAATTTTGAATTAGTTTTGCAACGTTTGTTGAGCAATTATAATCTTACCCCAGTCCTTAGTCCTAGAAAAATATATGTGAATTTTAGTTTTTACAAATATTTCAGTCAAAATAAGAAATACAAATTAAAGTTGTATATATATATATATTTTTTTTTTGTTCTTTTTTTTTTTTTTTTTTTTGAGGAAAATAGGATAAATATTGTTAGGCAATATTCGCCAAATTGGGTGGAAGGTTTAGACCTTCCTTTATTACAAACGAGACCATATTTCGTAACTAACGAGTGAACCAAGTTATTACCTGATAGACCTAGCTATGAATAAACTAGCTTCGATGAATACGCCGAAAGGAAGGGATGCATGATCATGAGCTCGAAGAGATGTGTAAGTTATCTCCTTCCACAATGACCTGAGACCTCCTGCCATTCCTTGTTTTTTGCTACGATGAGGGCCCTTAGAACTGCATTAGCCTCGCCATCCACAACCATTGGTCGTCCGATAAACTTTTCCGTCTGCCAAAACACACACTCACCTCGACTATTCCGATCGAGCAACAAGTGCAGTTACGTAGAACGTTTCTCCTGCTGGAAAACCTGCATCCACATTAATTATTATTATTCCGTCGTCGGGCGGTTTCCACTCGGTTGGATGACACCGACTACATTGCAACCTTGGTAAAGTTTGATTTTCCCGAAAACTCCCAATATAGCGAGCACTCCAATCTAGAATATCATTCGTATGCAAACTCTCTTTTCCATGTGTCTCTTTATTCCACTTCTCCCAGCATTTCCACTTAACAATAACAGCGCCAAGGTTTAGAGCTTCGTTATCAAGCGTCTTAAAAAGCATTTCGACCCATTGCCAATTCGATTATACATAATCAACTGGCATGAATTCAAACGGTGGAGCCTGCCAAACTACTCCCATACCACCGCAATCAAAGATGACGTGCACCGCCGTTTCCACTCCTCCTCCGCATCCATCTTCTACACCCTCGAGTAGTCGAAATCTTGCGCCTAAACAATACTGAGTTTGTTGGAAGAATATTGGAGCAGAATCGCCACCAAAAGATTTTAACCTTTGGAGGAATAGAAAGTCTCCAAATCCTCTTCCAATTGCCACGCCACTACATCCAGCAATGTTTAGCAAGGAATTCCTTGGAGTTGTGAAGTTCATCTTGAGTGCATTATGATAGCATGAACGTACACTGAAACTCCCGTGCTTGTTTAAATGCCATATCCATCTATCATCGACATTGACATTTTCGATCGGCATATTAAGGATTCGAGCTTTGTCTACTGGCCAAGAGTGTTCATCAATTAGGTTTTCGTTCCATGTATGCGTGGAAGGATCGATGAGGTCCGCGACCTTATCCGGAAAGCACGAGTGGCTTGGCCGTTTTGTGAAAATCCGTCGTCGCCCACCGTCTGTGAGCCAAGGGTCAGCCCAAATGGACGTCTGCTTGGACGTTTTGTTTAGTTCAACATAACTCATCTTACAAAAGTACTTGGGATGACTATTTAAGCAATTGTTTAATTTATTTTAATATTTCATTAAATTGAGCATATCTTTGTGTATGTTATACTGGCATATAATTTTTTGGTAATTAAAATCTATTATGAAAATCTGTTTACGGAGTTTGAATATATTAGGGGTTTGAAAAACAAAAAACTTACAATGAGTGAGTGTTTACCCTCATTTAATCTCCTACTTTGAGATATTTGATTTAATTAAAGAAATTAGGTATCCAGTTGCCAATATGGTTTGGTCATGATTGCTATATAAAATTGAGCTCATGATAACAACTAAAATTGGACATCTTACATATAAAAGAATTAGGTTCATAATTCAAAATATTTGCATGAATATTTTCCTATTCTTTTGGGCAGTGGACCAGTGGTATAATTCTACTCCCACTAATTCCATATATTCATGCAATCCTACTCATTTTTCATTTTTTTCATTGCAGTTTTGTAATTTTTTTTTTTTTTTTTTTTTGCAATTTGGTATATGCCCCTCTATATAACAATTTATGTGTATAGATGCAAGTCAAAATCTCCATGTTTTAATAAATTAATAATATTTATTGTGGCAAAAATACCATTAATCAAATCAAGTCAAATCCCAAAAAATCTCTCTATCAAAACAAATTTTTAAACATCTCTCTTCCAAATATTAACTGAAAAATTAAATTAATTTGTAAAAAAAATATACTATTTATTTTACAAACTCATACTCTGAAATACGCCACCGTCGCCGCCTATGAATCCGTGAACTGCAAATAGCAAACTGAAAATAAGAATTTGTATTATTGAATTGTAAACAACAAAATACCTATGATTTCGCCAAAAAATGCAAACAACAAACTGAAAAAAATAATCCATAATTTGCATTATTGAACTGCAAACAAAAACTACCTATTGACTTCGCCAAATACAACAGCAAACTGAAGATTTTTTTTTTAAACTTGCATTATTGAATTGCAAGCAATAAAACTATCTATGACTTCGCCAAATGCAAACAAGAAACCGACAAAAATAAAATCAACATCATTAAAAACATAAACAAAAAATTGTTTATGGAACACGTTGCAAACAAAAAAATCATTAAACAAGGTGTTTGTTAATGTAACTTAAGACATACCTTACAAATTCTAAACCAGAGGAATTGAATCTCAACTCCACACGCAATTCTTCAAACAACAATGGAGTTAAACCAACTCGCAAACAAAAATTTCTAACAACAAATGATGGTAAGATTCTACATACGGAAGACACAATGTGAATTTTGGAAGGATTTTAGATTTCTGATTTTTTTTTAGAGAGGATGGGACATCTGTTGTCCTTTTTAATTTTTTTCACCAAGAAATCATCTCATAAACTAAAAAGATCCTTTTTTTTCTTCTTTATCATATTTCTTCATAAAAAACAAATAAAGAAAAGAAAAGGAGCAGCACGAAACAAAAGAGAGAAAAGCGTGAGTTACAGAAAGAGTAAATAGAGATGAGAGATTAAATATATGAGGAGAGATACGTGAGATTGGAGAGAGAAATATATGAGATTTGTTTTCTTATTAATTGATGGTGTTTATGTCTATATACTACTCCCTCCGTTCCAAAATAATTGTCGTTTTAGGTTGTTGCGCACATATTAAGAAAATTAATAAATATGTGTGAATTTTAGAAAAATACATATTATATGACTAATATACCCATGTAATTAATTATATCTCAACTAATTAAG